GGGAGGAAGATAGGAAGGAAGGAAGGAAGGTTGGTTCCCATAATTCAGTCTGCATGCTACTGAATCTACAATAATCCAGGGCAGCCAACGCAGAATCTTTTCAAACCCAGGGTGCCTTTGGCTGGCTGAATAAAGTCTTCTCTCACCCCCATCCCTTAAAAATCAGATTCTGCGCACCACTTTGGGGCTTGCAGCATCTTCCTGTGCTGCGGTCATCCGATCATCCCACCGCCTCCAGGACTCCTCACAACCACATAACGTCTGGCAAACCTAAGAACGCCCTTGTTGGATCCAGCCCGAGAGATTTCAAAATCCAGCTGTTTTGCACTGGGCTCCAGCTGTTGCCAGACTATCCACAAACAGGCCAGCAAGCTAGAGCTTTCCCCTTCTCCCTGGGCCCCAGAAACTGGAATTCAGGGCTAGAGTGCCTCTGTCCAAGGAGTCTCTCTGGGACTATCACAGATCTCGCCTATCTGAGCCAGATCAATTAAAACCGAGCAGCTGCATTTCCACGCCCGGTGGCCCCTGGCTAGTTTTAACTTGGACAAGCTTCTGTGACTTAGCATATTGTGTGAACCCAGCCTTTTGTCAGTTTGGGGTTCACTGGTTAATTCAGCAGCCAGATCCAGTACACCGTGTGGTTGAAGGCCGCTTTGATTAATTCAGCTTGACCCTCAGACTAAGCCCCAGAAGACAGAGGTGCCCCTCAAGGCGAGAGGCCGGAAACGTCTTGTGGGGTGGAACCTCGGAGAGCTGCAGGCCAAAATGCTGGCTTCGGGTCCCCCTGGAGGAAGCTGTGGGGCAGAAGCTACAGAGCACAGGAATGGGGTAGAATATTGGGGGGCGTGCCTGAGGACCCCCTGGGTGATCGCCCCTGAATGGCCTCACTAGAGGGGCTTCTTCGTCCCTTTATTTCAAGCTGGGGGGAATCTTCTCCCCAAAACTGCCTCCTCCTCCTGAAAGCCACTGGCAGTTACATAACTGAGCCACTGGTCCCCTTCACACAACACCCTGAAACCAGTTTCTGAAGTCATCCACTGGGGGCCCTCCCCAATGCACCCAGCCAGACCAGACTGGAAAGGGCTGGGTTTGTACACAGGCATAACCTCAAAGAGAACTAACTAAGATAAATGGGGGGGGGGGGAATCTTACAGACTGCTCAGACTTAGAGCACCTTAAAGACTCTCACGCACAGGGTGACCCCCAGGGCTGGATTCCTCCCCCCAAATAAATGCCCCCCCAAAGCTGTTTAGATTCTGCCTTCTGTAACTCGGCCCCCATTCTGTTCTCCAGCGGGTCCAGATTGGCGGAGTGCGTTGCTATAAATAAATTACAAGGGGGGTGTCAGATCTTCCCCCCTCCCCGGCCCTTTTTCCCTCCCCCTCCCCACCTCCTGGGCGATGACGTCATCAGGACCAGGTGTGTGCAATTTGCTAAGGGGAGATGGGGAGGGGCAGAGAAACAACGAGGGGGGGTTGCCTTCAGATGGCACAAAAAGAGGGGCGAGAAAACTCGGAGGGGCGCCTTAAGG